AATTCTTCAAAATTCTTTCCTTTTCCTCATGACTGGTGAGGCCACGCTTCCCCTGCCTCTAGTGACTGCACGTCCCTGGGTTCCTCATACAGCCAGATGTTTGGATTGGATTGCATTTCTGTCCACCTATCAAGGCCTTCTCAAGGAGCTGGGATGGGGAGGGGATATTGTTGGTTGATGATGCTAAAGGTACTGGTGCTGGATGTAAGTTATCCAAATAGAACTGTCTTTTGCAGTTGACTGAGTGGCATTTTTGATGCACTTTGACTTGGTTTTATTGCCAAACTAGGTAACATCATCTGTATCAGAAGGGAATGAGTATACGTGACACTGCCCTGGTGGTGTAGTGGTTAGAATGCAGTATTGCAGCAAACTCTGCCCACAACCTGGCATTCGATCCTGATGGAGCTCAAGGTTGATTCAGCCTTCTGAGGTTAGTAAAAGGAGGGCCCAAATTGTTAGGGGCAATATGCTGACATTGTAAACTGGTCAGAGAATGCCGTAAAGGACTATGGGGAAATATATAATTCTATGTGCTATTGCTATTGCTTTTATTTTGTATACTATTGGCTTTCCCTGTCAGTGCTGGTGGAAGTAGTCTTGGCAGTTGTCTATTGGCTTATTTGTCTGAGTTTGTAGTTGTTTCACTTTATTTTATTTCATTTCATTTTATAAAATTTGATGTTAGTGTTGATCTCTCATTTTATAAAATTTGGTGTTGATTTCTGCTCATCTGGGCGTTGATTGCTGGTGACGAGATGTTTTAGGCCTTTTTGGCTTTTGATTATTTCTTTTGAATGCTTTGTAGATGTTATTTATATCTATGTGTCTATTGATGGTTGATATGTCTAAACTAAGTTTCAAAGAATTGAAAATGTCAATGCTGAAGTGGTGCTCCAGATGTTTTAGGATTGTATCCAGGGGGCCTATTATTATTTGTAATACCTTTGCTTTCTTTTATCACAGTCACGTCTTTTATTTTGTGATACTTTTTCCTAATTCTTTCTCTTTTATTCTGCTATCTCTAGGAATGGCAACTTCCACTATTCCAACTATCTTGTCCTTCTTACTGACAATTATTAAGTCTAGGGTGTAATGTGGCAAATGCTTTTTTTATTTGAATTCTGAAGTCCCAGACACTTTAATGTTTTCATTTTCTATTACTTTGTATATTTTATGGTCCCACAAGTTCTTGCTTGCAGGCAAATAGTATTTCTTGCAACTATTCCAATGCACCATTATTGCTAGTTATTGTTTGTTGCAGTCAGCCAGATATCCATACTGGATCTGGTATTTTTGTCCACCTATCAAGTCCTTCCCAAAGATCTGGGATAGGCAGATGTAGATGTTCGATGGTGTTTCAGATATCATCGCAGGATGTGAGTTGTTCCCATAAAGCTACCTTTTGCAATTGACTGATGGTGAATCCATCAATGCCAATGGTGTTCAACTGATGCTCCAATTGTTTTGGGATTGTATCCAAGGCATCTATTACTATTGGTACTACCTTTGCTTTCTTTTGCCATAGCCATTCTATTTTTGTTAGCTGGTCTTTGTATTTTGTTATCTTCTCCAGTTCTTTCTCTTCTCTTTTGTTGTCATTATCCACTCTCCATACTTTTTTGTCTTCCTTATCAACAATTATTTAATCTGGGGTGTTATGTGATAGGTGCCTTTTGATTATTATTACTGAAATAAAGAATACACAGTGATAAAAAAAACTAAGCAAGATTGTATTAATAACTCACTCTTTACAAGAATTCAGGGAGGACAACTGACAACATTCCCGTATATGTTATTATCCTAATGCTTTTTTTCCTAGACCACTAAAACTGTGGTCTCCTCTACATTTAAAATATAATTGTAGGATTCTCTTATCAACATAATGTGACCAACAAAATAGTTTCAGAACTACTGTATCTTTAATGAAAACTGTCCTCATTGCAGCTTCTGCCTCTGATTACTTCCTAACTGAAGAGGTGGGATTTACTTACCTTCCTTACTGGTTTGCAAATGTGAGCACACTGCCTTCTGTGCATGCTCAATACTTGCACATTACGTTGGGGGGGATGGGGTGGGGCAGAGCCTCCTGCAGCTGCCGCTACCGGTTTGCTCAAATCCGAGAGAACCAGCTGAATACCACCTCTACCTAACTGATTTAGAATAGCTTTGGTGATGATTGACACACAAGTACATCTTAATTAGAAACTAAATTAGAAGACGGCAGGCCATAAAGCTCTCAATATAAAACAAGATTTCAACAGTTATGAGGCAATGTATTTTTCATGTTTCACTATGCTGAATTAGAAAAATAATAATTTATTTCATTTATAGATTGCCCGATTCCTGACATTTGAAATAACAAGGCAAATTCTGATTAAATGTTAAGGCACCTTCCTTGATGGGAGTTATACAGGGAGTCCTATTGGGTTGAATAGGATCTTGTTCAGGGAAATTGGGCCTAGTAACCTTGTATTAGGTGCAATAAATTTTGTTTTCTGATAACTGAAGAAAAGCAGTTCTTTATAATGATTTTATGTAAGCAATCCAGATTTTTCTATGTTGTTCTATCACTAGTATCCGAAACATACTTTATGCCCTCACATATTCTCGCATGTTTCCCATGTTTCCCAAGTATCCTCCATTGTTCTTCTGGTTGATTCTTTATATCTTTTCCATATATTTCTTATCAAAGTTATAGAATCTGCAGAAGATCTCGTAGTTCAGATCTATTATATGTAGTTATTCTAACTATTATACTTAGTTCTATTAGTTCTAATAGATCTATTATACTTAGTTGTAGTTATTCTAATAACTCTAGTAATTAACAGCCACTGCCCACTTCCAGAGAGAATGAGTTGGAATTAGAATAAAGTTTTGTTCTTCCTGGCCAATTGTTAATTCCATGTGCTAGAACAGGGATGTCAAACTGGCAGCCTGTGGGCCAGATGTATCACACACGGGCCATGCCCACTCCAGCTCCGTGAATTGGAAAAATGTCGTGAAACATCACGTGACGGCAACATGATGTAGCAAGTTTGACACCTGTGTGCTAGAAGATGAGGACTCTAGGAATGGATATGATAGTCTATCCCTTGTGTGCTAAGAATTTGAAATACATTCCATGTTGAATTCTTACTCTCCCACAACAACATGTGGGAACAGGACAGACCTATACGGGGACAAAGAGGGTGTTCTAGGAAGGAATGAGGGAAGGCTGGCATGTATTTTCAGGTTGGTTGGAAGCTTAAGAAAAGGCCATATGTTTGATCTATGCTATTACAGGGAACGGTCCAAGTGTAAAGCTGACATCCAGCTTCTTAGTCTTTGTGTGAAGATGAGAAAACTGATAGAAAACCAGGCATCATTTGCAGCAGCAGTGATGGGATCCTTTCTAATGATGCAGGTCAGCGTAGGAGCCTTTGTTGTGATTCACTAACCTAACTTAACCTTTAAGGAAATCCAAACAGCATTAATTCCCCAAAGAAAATGGGAATAGTGTTGCAGTCTCAGGTAAGGGCTGCTCTTTACCCTCAAGTGCATGATAAATCTATTTGAGGTCAATGGGGAAATGCTCAAGTCAAAGGGAAGTACAGTTCCCATTGGGCACAGAAGATAGTAAATTTGCTTGGATTCCCATCATATTTATCAGACAAGGAGACAGATATTTGGCTTTGGAAGAGTAGCACTGGCTGCAGCTGCTTCAGCAATACTTCTACCAAGTATCTGGGAACAGGGCTAGTCCTGAAGCTGCTGGTTTACCACCTCACTCTAACTGGATTGCCATTTCGTTCTGATGCTAAAGCAAAGCACTGATAACTTGATTAACAGAAAAGGAACACTCACCGTGGCCAACTCACTGTGGGACAATTCAACAAATACAAAAGTTAAGTTAGTGAGTTGGCCATGGAGAGTTGGCTGCAATGAATGGGCTATGGTGTGTTGTCCTAGATCAGTGGTTCTCAACCTTCCCAATGCTGTGACCCTTTAATACAGTTCCTCATGTTGTGATGACCCCCAACCATAAAATTGGTGTCTCAGTTCCTAAGACCATCAAAAATATGTGTTTTCCGATGATCTTAGGCGACCCCGGTGAATGGGTTGTTTGAACCCCAAAGGGGTCCCGACCCACAGGTTGAAAACCACTGTCCTAAAGGGTAAGTAGCCATTGCTTAACTATTGGTGTCCAGATGCAGGCTCTCCTCTTATAGTACTTGGAGGTTCTGCTATCAAACTTAACATGGGGCAGGGCAGGTAGTCTCTTTTGTACAGACACTTAAATACCATATTCAGGAAACTGCTTCTTAGCAGAAAACCAGTGAACGAAAGAAAACCAGTGCTTGATTAATTTCTTTCCTGCAGATTCAAATGAACTGGATTCACATAACTGTCTGCTGCAAGACACAGCAACCAAAGCCTGTTGTGCATCTGTTTTCCAAGATTTAAATTCTCGACATTTTTCTACGGCCCTTCTGAGTCAACATAACTACAAGACCATAGAGCGCAGCTTGGTTATGAACATGTTATGGATACAAGTTCCATTCCTGGCTCATGAAAGATTGTCTTTTTTTCTGCAAATAATAACATGGCATGAGAGAGAATGTGTTCCATGGGGACTGTCTTTCGCACCTCATAATCTGTTAGAAAGAAAGCACTCCTGATCAATAAGCTGAAATGCCAGGACAATAAGCATATCAGGTATCTCATCAACCCTCATATTTCTTATCTACTGCCAATCCCTCCATTCTTGTAAGCATTTCCCCTTACCTATTGAAAGATTTATAAAGGCAGAGGTCAGCTTTGGTGCCATTAGACAAGGGATCAATGCTGAATTCACTTTTCTCTTGTGGGGTGATGCCTAGGGCTCTTTCCCATGGAGAAATGTAGGTCTTAGGAAGGGAAACCTTTCCTTTCCCACTCCCACTTTTATTTTCACCTATAATATAAAGGAAAAGAAGAAAACTTAAGTCAAGAGAAAACATACAAAGCAACATCCTAAACTGAGCAATGGATACAGATAGTCCTCGACTTATGACCACAATTAAACCCAATATTTCCATTGCTAAATGAGGCAGTTGTTAAATGAGTTGCACACCATTTTACAACCTTTTTTCACAGTTGTTAAATGAACTACTGCAGTTGTTAAGTGAATCATGTCATTGTTAAGCAAATGTGGCTTCTGCCGTTGACTTTGTCAGAAGCCGATTAGAAAGGTTACTGTTAGATTGGGTAAAGGAAAGACACACTGAGGCTTAGGCAACAACAGCTCTTTATTGTAACAGAACAACTATGTACAATCCAGCGAAGGTTCAGTCTGACAGCAGCCCTTTTATAGGGAGCTGTCAGACCCTTCGACAGTGAGATTGACTCTCTGTTCCCGCCGGAACAGAGGACCTTGGTGGAAACCATTATGACAGTTGCTAATATCTAACAGTTACAAATGGTAATCATATGACCCTGGGATAGTGCAACTGTCATAAGTACATGCCAGTTAGCAAGTGCCTGAATTTTGATTACGTGACTGTGGGGATGCTACTACTGTTGTAAGTCGGAAAAACAGTCATAAGTCGCTTTTTTCAGTGCACTGTAACTTCAAATTGTCTAAAATGAATAGTTTTACATTGAGAACTACCTGTACTATGCAGAATCAAGTGAATGATGGAAGTAAAGGTTCTTTCAAGCATATACTTAACCAAAGCAACTCAATGTCTGTGCTCAGGATATGCTGTTCAACAAATTATCCATTTTTATGAACTCTTATCTTTTCCTCCCTCCGCATATCGCTCTTCTCTTCTGTAATAAGCAATACAGGTAGTCCAAAATTCATGTTGTTAAGGAAGATATTTGTTAAGTGAGTTTTGCTCCATTTTACAACCTTTCTTGCCACAACTCATGGCAAGTTGTTAAATTAGTAACCCAGTTGTTAATTGAATCACATTCCCCGTTGATTTGCTTATCAGAAGGTCGCAAAAGGAGACTGCATGACTCCAGGACACTGCCACCGTCATAAATGTGAATCAGTTGTCAAGCATCTGTATTTTGATCATGTGACCATGGAGATGCTGCAAAATACGTAAGTGTGAAAAACGGTCATAAGTCACTTTTTCGGTGCCATTATAATTTTGAACAGTTATTAAATGAACTGTTGTATGTCAAGGATTACCTGTATTATACTAAATACAGTCAAGGAGCAAGAAATACTAAGAGAAAGAAGCTAAAGGTGTGAGGAAAAAAAGGAAATCTAACTAAATCTAGTTTATACCAACAAAAGTTACTATCCTCCCTACGTTTTTCTATCCATGCAATCCATCCTTGATTCACCACTTCCAAATACTAATGTTTTTCAAATTTCTTACCTCTTTTGGAAGTCCCCCCCACTACCCTGTGGAACATTCTACCCCCAGAAATGAGACAGGGCCCCCACTCACCTGGCCTTTCGGAAAGGTGTGGAAACATGGCTCTGCTCTCACCGAGGAGCTTGCAAATGTGTGATTAGTGCCTTGAAAACCCCTCCCCTTCCTTTTAATTAACTCTTAACATTGATTTTTAAACACTTGCTCTTTTTAATATTTTATATATTGTTTTTATGTTTTTATATCTTATTCATATACAGCCCAGAGTCCCTGTTGTGAGGGAGATGGGTGGTTTCAAAATTTGGTGAATAAATAAATTTAGATCAATTCAATCACAATTCCCTTGAATCTCTCCTTCCTTTCACTCTTCCTTTGTACATTTGTTCTACAATTTGATCCCTATTTGTTTTCCCTTTATAATAAAACCACTTTAATGGACTTGCTCTCCTTTGTGTTCAAGCCACATTCATCACCCATTCATTATTTACACTTTTTTTTCATTATACCACCTACATTTTCCCCACTCATATTTTTATGTATCTCTAACCTGCAAAGGTCTCACTCCTTGATAACAGATAGGGCTCATATAAAGCTATTTTCATTTCTAGCAATAAAGGTAGCTGTTCTGTAGGGAGAACGAGGCAGACGGGAACTGAGGCAAGGCAGGTTGAAGCTAACACAACCTTTTATTACAGTAACATACAGCTCAATGTAAGGCAAACCTCGAACCGGCAAACAGCAAAACATTTGACAGCTGACAGCCCTTTTATACTAGAGCTGTCAGACGCTTAACCAATAGAATAGCTGGATTCTTCCGCCAGCTGGCTGCTTGCGTCTTAGCCAATCAGGAGCTAGCAGTGCAAGTCAATGGTGTCGTAGCCTCAAGGACTTAACAGTAGCTAGTTCATTGTCCAATGCGGAGGACAATGAACTACCTACCTTTGCATTAATATTTGCACATCCTAACACTTTTCCACTTACTTTTAACTATTTAGTAAACATTCTACAAAGTACATAAATACACCTACTCACTGTAATTTGTTTACTACCTTGTCTTTGGTATGTTTTTATAGTTTTGATAGTATAAAAGTTAATATGATTTGCTACAAAAAATTTGGGTTCTCCCTTGTTTACATACAGAAATCCATATTCACGCCTCTCCCCAAGCAACATCCCTTTAATATCATCACAAACCTAAAAACCGATGCAGCAAAAACTTAATTCATACATGATTTATTCAGAGTGCCATTATTATGAATGAATAGAATGAATGAACAAGTTTTTTAGCAATTTTTTAGCTAAGGAGAGATCATAGGAAGCAAGGAGAAATTAAAATAATAAGGATGGGACTAAAAAGGGAAAAGACATTTAAACCATGATTACATAATTATGTTGTAGAATTTCAGATGCTTTCAGCAAACTCACTAGGGCACTGTGGGACATTTCATATTTTTGGGGGAAATGCAATGATACTCGACAGTTGTTAGGCAACATACAAAAGTACTAGCTGAAAATAGTTCAGTTTTAGAACATGGGTGCTATGAAAAAAAGTGACTGAACTAGTAAAGACTCTGAATTAAGAAAAATTGGGAACTTCATTAAGAAGATAAGGGAAACAACTTTCAGGAAACAAAGAAGGGATTAGATTTGTCCCAATTTTATCTCCAAAAGACTTGAAAATATACAATACGGTTGAGGAAATGTCATTCTATATAATATAACTTCAGGCTTTCAAAAATGCTTTCATATCATGTAGGAATCTCAGTTAAATGTTTCAATCAACAAATCAAATAGCTTTGCTGTTTCATTTGAATAGGGTAATGGTTTACCAAAGAACTCCAGAGTTTTTAATTAAACTATATGGATAATAGAACTACCAATGGTGGTAAAAAAAAAAGAATTATGTCCTTTTCTTCAAAGCCAGTTCAGGCAGTGTCAGCAGAAATTTTCTCAGATATATTCAGATTTAAGAAAGATCTTGAAAAGAACAGGGTTTTCATATTAAGCATTTTTCTTTACTCATCTATTGGATGAAAACAAATACTTACCTTTTCCACCCCCAGCCTCATTTCCATTTCCACCTCCGTCCACTCCTCCCCCTCTGCCGGCAGATCCCTCGCTGTGGCCAGTCCCAGTTCCTCCAGCACCACCTTTGCTCCCAGGCTTTGCAGGAGGAGTGGGAGGATAGTGCAGCTTGCTGGATCCGTATGGTCCTACAGTTACACCACTCATCATTCTCCCACCACTATAGCAATCAGATGGGATAAACCTCTGGAAGTGATCCTGGGTAAGAAGACGGAAGGGAAATGTAAGGAAAGAGGGAGGATGAAGTAAAAGAAAGGAGCAAAATTAAATAATTGTCAAAAAATGAATTCCATATTTCTTTTTTATCTGCTAATATTACTGAACCTATTGTGCTTAGATGATGAGAACAACATGTTGATTCATATCCAAATAAATTAGTGACCTCAAGGAACAACAGTGAAAAGTGCTGTCACTGATAATTTTAGTATTTTCAATAGTTCATTTTAATTTTAAAAATTAAATCTTTAGAAAGGGGTATTCTTGAGACACAGCTACAGGTAGGCCAGTATTAAAGGGCAGAATCAAGATTTAAATTACTATATTGCACTATGTCATGGAACTAATTTATGAACTTAGTTTTTTCCAAGTGGAATTTCCCCTTCTTCCTCTTCATAACTGGCTGCTGCTTGCACATAGGAAGACATGCATTTGATTTCTTCTATCTGCAGCACAGTTTAGGGAAGAAAGTTCTGTAGGCTGTAAACAGGCTTCCAGTATCAGCTATCTGGGCTGCTAACTATAGGTGAGTGGGTGGGTATTTGGGAATACCCAAAGCCTGAGTTATCATACTCTTTTTGCTGCATTTAGCACCAGTCATAAAGCTTTAGAGCAGCCACTGAATATGCCATCTGGGCACAAAGCCTTTAGCAAATGACCTGACAAAGTTCTGGGGAAACTCCCTATAATATACCTATATCAGTGCCCTATTTTAAGGACAACAAGGGAGGCATAAGAATACAGAAGAAGAATATGTAGGTGCATAATATAGTTAGGAAATGCAAAGAGATAAAAAAAGTTAGTTGGGTAGAAGCATGCTAACTACTAAGATAATGAATGTTAATGCTAGATTAAGCCATTTTGTGCTTCAGGTATGACAGGAATTGATCTCACTTTATTCAGGGATATTGGTAAACAAGTTTTTGAAAAGCATATGTGCATTCCAAATTAATACAGTATGTTAAATGTGTTCTCAACATTCTGAATAAAAAGAATTGGCAACACTATAAAGAGCATTTGGCTCAAAATGAGTAGAGAAACAAATAAAAGCAATACTGTTGTTGGCATCTAGAAAATGTGAATAGCTTCCAAAAATAAAATGCAGATCCTTCAGAGGATTGAAGTATTGGGGAACTATAATTATTTTGCACATGTTAGAAGATTCTACCAATTGTCCTCTTTTTGAGAAATTCATGACTTGGCTTATTGACAGCTATTTTTCGTCACAGGACTGAGGAAGAGCATCAGCTCTCCCAATTTAATCATGATCAAAAGGAAAAATTTAACCGTGGAAGTGGAAGTTGCAGGAACTCCAAGGGAAACAACCTATAGGAGAAGAACAGGCAGAGTTGGTGTGTGTGTGGAATTAAGCACATCATCAGCATAGACTCGTTATGTTGCCACAAACAGTACAAGTCCAACCCCACTTGAATTCCTTTGACTCTTATCTCTCATCAATTTAGTATTGATCTTTAGTTGACGTATGGTCCTGATCCTTTGTGCATGACACCAATCATGGTGCAATTCTGGATTCTACAAGAGACTAAAGGTGAGTCAACTCCAATGCAAATTTCATATTTTTAAAAATGAATTTTAATATTTTAAAAGTAGTGATAACTATTACTGATATTTTCATTAACAAGCTAAATGATCATATGAATATATAGTCTCCTTGACACTTTATTCGAAGAATGCTCCAAGTGGAGGAAGTATTGATTGTGTTACTTCAAAGTTCATCTCTAGTACTGTACAGGGTAGCCCTTGATTTATGATTGCAATTGTGCCCAGCATTTCTGTTGTTAAGTGAAACATTTGTTAAATGAGTTGTGCCCCATTATATACAACCTTTCTTGCCACATTTGTTAAGGGAATCACTGCAGTTGTTAAGACAATAACACAGTTGTTAAGTGAATCTGGCTTCCCCATTGATTTGGCTTGTCTGAAGGTCGCAAAAAGGGATCATATGACTCCAGGACACTGCAACAGTCCTAAATATGAATCAATTGTCAAGCATCCAAATTTTGAACACATGATCATAGTCATAAGTGGGGAAAATATCATGAATCATTTTTTTCAGTGCCATTGTAACTTCGAGCAGTCACTAAATGAACTGTTATAAGTTGAGGACGACCTGTACATTTGTTTTAATGGTGGATGAGGTCGATGAAATTACAATTATTATCCTTCATTAAATTTATATAGCTGTTCATCTCACTTCCATGACTCTGGATGGCCCACAAAATTAAACAAAGTACAAAAACACCCCCCAAATAATAGCAAACATAAAATAGTTTGCATTTAAATAGTTTTTAAAGAAGCATCCTGTCTTGTTTATATTGTTTTTAATAACATTGGAAGAGATGGACAAGCTGCTTTATAAGACGTGTACATGATGCAAAATTTGGTGGAATATCTAATACCCCACAACAAGGTTTTTCAAACTGCTCCACAGTTCAAGAGGCACCTGGAACATGAGGGGCCTCTGGTAGTGAGTCAAGGCAGGTGGAAAAAAAATCACTCAAATACAAATTTCCAAATCCTTCCAGTAATTAATATAGGCCAGTGGTCCCCAAACTTTTTTTGGCCGTGGCCCACCTAAGCATGTCTAAAATCCTGATGCCGCCCCGTGACATATAATTCTTACTTTACTCAAAAAGTGAACTGTACTCATGTGAAGGCCATTAACGTGGTTTAAACAAGATTCAAATTGCCCCCATTAAAAATCAAGTTGCTCCCCTGTGGGGCCTGAGCCCCACACTGGGAACCACTGATATAGACCGATAGGTTTTCCAAACAGTGATTAGTAGATGCATTTGGCAAAGCTGTACTCATGCTTCTCACATTGATGATGATGGTTATAAATTGTGAGCTAGACAAACCTTCACTCTAGAAAAGATAACCTCAACTGAAAAAGGAGTAATATTTTTTGTCTGATTACTAGACCTATGGTCTCCTCTCAGAAAAAAACAAACCTTCACAAAACTCCTTTTGTGTATGTATTTTTCAGTTTTGATCCGTAGCTGCATTGTGGCAACTTAAAACACCCAAGAAATTCATTATTTGCTGTAGTTTGACAGAAAACAACTTCATCACATTTGGTTGATTAGTTATGTGAACAAAGACATTGCTAAGTACATTTTAACTTTAATCGTCTTTAGACGTTTAAGCCTTTGCGGAAAAACTTTAATTTGAAGAGTAGTAGTATAATTGTTAACATCAAAACAAACAAATATTAACCAGTCGTGGTTCAGAGTGATTTAGGATCCAAATTATATGCCAGGAGTAGTTTCCTAACTACAGCAAAATGTTCTTTTTATTTATATAGACATATTTAATTCTAGGAATAGCCACAGGAACCCAGAAGCCCAACTGCATGTTTAACCACCATGCATTAAAATCTGGTACTTTTGTCATGTTTTGATTGAGTTTGAGTTAGTCATTAAATAACCAGGCTGAGAAACACATGTTGTTTCAGACATAAGTCAGGTTTGTTACTTCCAGTGGCTCCACACACAAATAACAAAGGTGACCAATTTCCTGCCGTTACAAGGCACTGGATTCCCTTCACTTTCAACATTTCCAATTCGGCAATGGAAGATGATCCTTCTCAAAGAGATGGAGATGGTAAGGAATCCCTGGGTACTGCTACCACCGAGAGAGAGACTGATCTGCTACTCTGACAGGATGGCACCACTGCCTTCCATGATTGAGGCCATCAAGTGTGTTTCTATTTCTACTCCCCTGATTAAGGACTTCCCAAAATGCTTACTCTCTAAGTTATTCACAACAGTCATCCTTCTCAACTACTTCAATGCTTTCTTAGTTATTTTAGTGTATAGGGGAGGTTATTTTACAGGTTTTTTTTCAGATGCATTCCACACACATACAGTATACTATAATATTGTGCAGGAAATGCTATGAAATTAAGGAAAGTTAAGGGTCTTTTCTTATTTCTGTGTTGCTTCCAAGAAAACTTTGTGGCTGAGACCATGTAATCATCATATATTAAACAGAATACAAGTGTGACTTCACCTTTTACAACATTTTGTGCCTGTAATACTACTGACTATTTTTCCCTTATATGTTTAAAACATTTTTTCATGCAAACCTATATACATTTACTGAGACAAAAAGCCAATTACCATATGTTTAATGGCCTTTGCCCTTATGTCTGTGAGTACAGAATTGTAATTGAATTTTTCCCCATCATGAATGGAAGAACTACAGCTTTTGAATTGTGATTAAAAAAATAAGTGCTGATAAATGCAACTACCTATATATCTAGAAAACCAGCTAACCTGTCTGGTTAGTAATGAATCTTTGTCAGAAGTTTCTAGGAGTATAGGCATCCAAGTATTTTTATATCGCCATTAATGCTATCAGCTCCAGCATCTCCACTGCAGACAGCCCAAAAGGAGGAGACTATGGAATGGAGTAGGTTGTGAGCAATTAGTGTCCCTTTGTCAAATGTTTTGCTGACTCAAAATATATCATGTCCATAGCATTTCCCTCACTCTATCAAAGACAGGAAACAAGCCCTTGCCCCGAGAGAAAATACAGTTTTGTCCTTGAGTCCAGTGCTTCAGGCTTCAAGATACATTATCATTATAATCTATAGGATTTTTTTATAGTTTAGTATCCTTATACAATAATTTCATAATATTGTAGTGAGTAAATTCAAAAAATAAATTTCCAAGAATTAAATGTATGCTTTATATTGACAATCTTTCTCTAGTTGTCAGTGGGTATGACTCCTATACTTCTGGATGGGGTTTCAATTCATGAGATCTAGCAACGCAACTAAAGTTTATAGTTATTCATACATTTCTAGGTACAACAACAATTTTTATTGCAGAGTGGCCCTTCCATTCGGGCGGCATAGAGAGGAAAACATCTCCAACATCAGATACTGAGAGTAGCAGTGGGACTCCATCAGATATTCCTTCCAGAGCTTTTTGGCTATTGCCATTTCTTGCAGGTTG